TAGCTCAGGGCTAATCTTCCTCAAAAAAAGAAAAAAAGAAAAAAGAAAGATCTTTAGTTTAGAAATAAAATTTACCAAAATTCAAGGAGATGAACGAGTTTATTCAAACATTCCACAAAGGAGTATATTTTATAGAAGACATCCTAATATTACCCAAATATCTATAGACTAGGTCCAAAGGCTTCAAAGGCCAGGGAAGCGTGGAAGCAATTATGCTTTTAAACAAAAATTTTATGTTTAGTTGCTGCAAAGTTGCCTAATTTTGGAAGAAGCAAATAATTATTTGCTCTGATATAAATAAAAAAGCCTAGATCTTAAAATAAAAAATGGCCCAAAAGACCAACTTGTCTCCAGACTGCTAAAGTACTATTCCTGTTTTACAGACGGGGTGACTGATGGACTTTCCAAGAGCAGCTGGCCTGAAGCCCCTCGGCTGACAGTGAGCAGGAACAAGAGCCAACGCCTCCTCCGTGCTCAGGAACAAAGGGAGGAGTTCAAGGGACAGACGCCCTCTGCTCCTGTCCCCTTCCCACGACCCAGGCTAAAAGGGCAGCCCTTCCATACCTCCTGAGGCTTCACTTTGCTCATGGATCTTGGCACCTAGTGTCAGTGCAGACACCAAGGACACACCCTGACTGGTGGCAGTGCAGACACCTAGGACACACCCTGACTCAAACCAGGAGTTCACTGTGAGATTGTCTCTGAGTCAGTTAAGGGAAGCCCCGCTGAAATGTCCTGACGTGCAGAGTTCAGAGAGTGGAGGAAGTACAAATGAGTAAACAGAAGTTAGGAAGTACAGAAAGAACAGAGAGAGCAGGTGACAGAAATGGCTGAAAGTGAAGCTGACATCCTGGCAGGAGATGATGCCTCTGAAGTGGGGCCTGAGAGCCAAGGGAGGCCTGGGGAGCCAGTTGTCCTACAGACCATCCCTTCTAGGGGCCAGGTCATGGGGCATCTGATTCCTTAAACTAACCCCTATTGCCAAGAGCACAGGAGCCTCCCTCTGGGCCACTGCAGAGGGGAACTGGAGCAGGGTGGGTTCATTCAAGCTCACCTCTCACCTGAGGCCTGGAACACAGCCAGCCTTCAAAGCACACTTGTTAAATAAATGAGTTTCAATAAATGGATCAATAGTCTGTTTTCCCAAAACCTCATTTCCCACAACATCCTAGGAATAACTCACAGATATGAAGGGCTGGCTTCCCAGTTGACAAGTTGCTCTCACATACTTTTATTGCATTTTATCTTTACAACAACCCTATGGGAAAGCCAAAGCTGACATTAGCCTCATTTTGCAGATAATTGTTATCCCCATTTTGCTGATGAGAAAGTTGAGGCTGGGAGAAGGTCATGACTTGCTCAAGGTCATAGGCTGAGAAGGACAGAAGCCAGGGTTCCTTCCCCAGAGGCTTGTCATTCACCCTGCACTGTTTCCAACTGAATGGCCGGGCAAAGAGGTTCGACCACAATAACAATTTTATCTCAAACAATAGTTAGAGGATTGCATCTTGTACTCTTCTCCAAAACATGCAAGTGTGCTAGAGGCTTTGAGTCACAAACCCTCTGAGCAGAGTGATGAGGGAACAGGGGTGAGGGCGAGGGGCCTGGTCCCTTCCTGTCAGGGTGGTGTTGCACAAGCTTCTAGAGGGTGCAAGAAACCACAGGGAAGTTTGCCTACAGTCACAGTCACGGGACCGGTCTGGGGAGAGTGAGGGCAGGACACAGCCAGCCGGAAGGCAGAAAGTGGGCGGGACAATCTAACCAGCGACAGAAAAAATCCTGGAGGAGGAGCTGGGGAGGACGAACTGACTGTGAAGGAAGACTGCAGGACGACAAGGCAGTTCAGCCGTGTAGTTCGCCTGGCCCCGGCTTAGGGCTGCTCCCTCCACGAACCATCCACAAATAAGGACCTCACAAAGGCACCGCTGCCCGAGAGCTGAGGACCAGTAATCAGGACACTTCGTTTAAAAAGTGTCCCCAGCCCTCTCTGGTTTCAGGGGAGGGCGGGGAGGGCTGCAGCGTCACCAGGTGACTGTTGCAGCAGCGCATGGCGGGGGCGCGGGCCGGGAACCAGTCAGACCGGCCCTGAAACGCGGTCCTCGCTCCTTAGCCGCGACTTTGGACAGGCGAGTCTCCCTTTCCCGAGTCTGTTTCGTCGCCGGTAACGCAGTTTTTAAAGACGTTTACTTCGCAGAGTGAATATGACATGAGTGTTCGGACGGAGCCGGGCACCGGGGCGCTCTCGGCAGGACCGCTCACTGTTACGGTCACTCGCCGCTGGGGATTCGGGGAAAACAGAAAAACACAGAAATAAGCGTCTGTCACACGTCCACCCGGCCCGCCCTTCCAGCCCTCGGCGGCCCCTGAGCTCGGTGCCGCTCCGGCCCTCGGCCCTCGGCCCTCCGACCGTCTGACCCCGTGCACGGACCACCGACCGCGGGCACGCGGACAGGCCTGCGGCCTCACTGCCGCCAAGACCAGGCCGGGCCGGGGTTGCGATGCGGGGTCGGAGTCGGCGTTAGGGCCGGGTCGGGGGTCCAGGCCGGGGTCCGGCGCCCGCTCCCCTCGAGCTCCCGGCTCTGCCCCGTGACCCCGCCTCCGGCCGAGTCCTCCCCAGAGCTGGAGGGCAGCCCGGCGCGGGGTCCCGACACCCTCCCTCCCGGGCCCGCAAGGCTGCAGCTCTAGTCGCGGCGCGCAGCACGGGACGGCACCTTCGTAAGCCGCTGGGAACCCCAGCAGGACTAGGGGAGCGAATTGGCGGCGCGGCTCCGGAAGCTGGTCGCAGGGACCAGAGCCTGGGCGGGGCCGATCGCGCAGGCGCTGAGGAGGCCCGGATGACGCAAGAGCCCCGGCAGCGCAGGCGCTTGAGGAGGCCCGGAACACGCAGGCGCCTGGGGAGGCCCGGCCGCGTAGGCGCCGCCTCCCGGCCAACATGGCGGCTGTGTTGCTGCTGCGGCGGGCCCTCCGTCAGGGTCCGGGCCCGGGTGCCCTGCGGGGCCCCTGCTCGGGCTGGAGCCCAGGCCTCTCCGCCGGGGCTGGGAGGAGGTGGGCGTACTTCGTCCACAGGCCTCCGATGGGCCTCGCCGGGGCTGGAGGCCGAGCCCTGCAGGTAACCCCCGGGCCTGGCCCGGGCCGGGGCCGGGGCCGCGCGCCCCGCCCGACTCGCGGTCGGTGGGCCTCGGCGGCCGCAGGTGTGAGCCGGGCGAGCTCCCGCCCAGGCGCAGCCTGGTTTCCGGCCCGATTTCGTGTGGTGGTGTTTCGACCTGTCTTCCTGGCGTTTCACGTCGAGCCTCGCTAGTGCCGCCCGGTTCCGGCGGAGAACTGTTGGGCCCGGCTCGTCCGGGCAGGCTCGTCAGGCTGCCTCCTGGCCTGGCGAGCGGCCGGCGCAGGGCCGTGCAGCGCGGCCCGGGTCCACGCCCGCCCTGAGCGCAGACCCGGCGTCCTGGGCTTTTCGGTTGCTTCCTTTCAGCCCTCTCTTAGAGCTCATCCCGCACGTTTTCGGTCGTCGTCCATTATTGTTGTTCTATTTTACCGTAACTTGAGAAACAGTTTGAATTATAATCGTGTTCTGGGTTACTGGGCACTCTGAACCTGAGGGCGACTGTCGGTATATTACTTTTCTTTTGGCTTTTTAGTTCTCTTGAGAAGGAAAATTATAGTTTATAATCTTTAGTCGGATTTTAGGCGTATCCTGTGAACGTAAGGGCTGCAGTAGGCAGTTCACACATTCTTTGGAAATCTAAGCAGATTACTTCATCAATGGCTATAACAGTAATAAACTAAAGTAACCTGGTTTAAACCGTGTTTGGGGCTGACTTTGAGAATGACATTTTTCTTTTTGCTGTATCTGACGCTGATGTTACTCGTTTATTGGGCCCAGTCCACACTCTGTGGCCCCTCCTTATGTGACTGCTGGTAGTTGCTGAGCCAAGAATAGTAGTATTAATTAAATGGGACAATGATTGTAGAGACCAGGAATTTTCACCCTGTTGCTAACAGGAAATTGCACGTGAGGTGCTCCTTACCAAATAGCATTGTGCAAGCTGTTGGATTTCTCCATAGCAGGAGCCCAGCAGGGGTGAGTTAAGGACAAAATTAAGAATAAGTAAATAAATAAAACGGATGAAGAAACTACCGACACAGAGATAGAAAAAATTAGACTGTTGATCTTAAACACATTCAAGTGAGAAAATGCTCATCTTGAAAACAGAACTTTATGTTTTTTGAGGAAGATTGGCCCTGAGCTAACATCCACCGCTAATCCTCCTCTTTTTGCCGAGGAAGACTGTCACTGAGCCAACGTCTGTGCCCATCTTCCGCTATATTATGTGTGGGATGCCTCCCACAGCGTGGCTTGATAAGAGGTGCGTAGGTTCGTGCCCAGGATCTAAACCAGCAAACCCCGGGCCACTGAAGTGGAACGTGCGAACTTAACCCCTGCACCGCTGGGCTGGCCCCTGAAAATAGAACTTTAGAAATATAGACTAGTAATCTGCTATAGTACCTGAAATGTTCTAGAAGGAGCAAAGGGTCTAGGAGTCACTGCAGCCTCTGCTAGCTGGTCTGCTCCTTGTGTCCTGCAGGAGAGTTGTGAGCTCCAGGGCACAGAATGACAGCCAGTGCTCTGTGCCTTTAGTTCAGCGTTTCTTTGACTTGCTCACTTTTGACGTTTTGATTTTTTTTTCTTTTTTTTTTTGATGTTATGTTAAAACTTTGAAATAAATGCTGAGACTATAACTTCACATTTCAGGGCAAGGTAAACATTACAAATAAATATATCTGGACTTTGAGAAAAGCATTTGCAGTGGGGAACTAGTGCACATCGTTTGTGTGCTGCAGTGTTGGCGTGACTGAGCCTCGCTCTCCTTTTTTTCAGAGTTTGCGGTTGCGACTGCTCACCCCCACCTTTGAAGGGATCAGTGGATTTCTGTTGAAACAGCATCTAGTCCAGAATCCAGTCAGACTCTGGAAACTGTTAGGTGTGTATCTTTGGAAAGACAGAAGTGACAGAGCCTGTGGCATTTGTGAATAAATGAGGATAACGTCGCTGGTTTGACATTGACAAGATACCAAAAATCGCTGTAAGGACATTTGGCCTTTGTTTATTGTGAGCCGTTAGAAGCTCTGAAGGAAGTTCATGAAAAGGAAGATCATCTGAGGTCTGAACAGGCCATTTTTGCTTATTTTTGAGTCATCTTTTTTTTCAATTCCGGTGTATAGCAGTAATTGGGTTGCTTGAAGAAGATTTTTCATGTTCTCTAGCTGTCTCCAAGAATGCTCAGTAGAGATCCACAAAGTGGCTCTGTGTGTTTTCCATCCAGAAGGTGATCAACAACGGCCTACACAGAATTTGTGCGCGCAGTAGAGTTGCACCATCTAATGAGACACTGACATCCTGCTGTCTCTTGACCTGAGGTCAAAGCACCTGGAGGATTGACGCCTGTAATTTTACTCCCTCCTTTATTCAGTTGGAACACGGAAAAAATAAAATCTTCCGACTCCTAATGTGCATTCAGCAGCCTGGTGCCCACATGTGGTCAGAGACAGCTCTGACTTGGTGGCAGCGTGCACATCTGCTATGTTTTCTCATTTAAATCTACACGTGCACCCAGTGGCACACACTCCACCCTCCAGACAGCCTGATCCTGTGTGGTGGCTGTCCAGGTAGTCTCATGTGTGGTTCTGTTAGTGTCTGTGAAGAAAGGTGTGGTGCCGTCATGGTTGTGAGACGTTTCCCCCCACTTTATTTTATTTATTTATTTATTTTAAAGATTTTATGTTTTTCCTTTTTCTCCCCAAAGCCCCCCAGTACATAGTTGTATATTCTTCATTGTGGGTCCTTCTAGCTGTGGCATGTGGGGTGCCGCCTCAGCATGCTTTGATGAGCAGTGCCATGTCCACGCCCAGGATTCGAACCAATGAAACACTGGGCCGCCTGCAGCCGAGTGCGCGAACTTAACCACTCGGCCACGGGGCCAGCCCCCTCACCCCATTTTAGACTGATTTGGTCAGTTCTTAGACAAGACAATCTTTTGTGAGGAGTGTTAATGTGGGCCTGTCTTGGTAATGGTGGCAGTGGGTCACTGCCATTGCTGCATGTGCCAAAGCCACTTGTGTTGTTCATTTGTTTAAATTCAAGTGCCTGTATATATTGAAGGGTTATTCTCCAACAAACTCGTGACACTTTCTCAGATTTATGTTCATAACTAATTTTTATTCCCTCATGTTGGCTAATTTAAATTACAAACATGCTTAACTTCATAAGTTGAAGTAGTTTATTATTCTATAATTAGTAAATACCATACTGAGAATGATTATCTCAAACTTCTAAATCTTCTGCATGTGGGTTTCAGTTTGCTTTGGTCATTTGAGAACCTGCTCTTCTCCTTCACGTCCCCTGGTTGCAGATTTTGGTTGTGAAACATTTTCCCTATTCCTTGTAGGTGGCACTTATTATTTTAACACCTCAAGGATGAGGCAGAAGATGAAGGACAAGGGAAAATCCAAGGGGAGGACCCCTGAAGATGATGAAGGTATGTCTATGATGTTTTTAATGTTGGCCACCCTGGTGGTCTTCATGTGTGTCTTCTAGTCTAAGCAACAGGAGACCCATCTCAAAGGGAGGGCAAGCCCAGGCTCTTGTGTCTCCCTCACCCTGGGCACACCTGCCCCCAGGCTCTCGTGTGATTGCTGGATCCTTCCTGCCTGTCATTTTGGAGACGCTTCCATCAGCACCTGTGTCCCCTGTCTGTTAGAATGTCTGAAGGCAGGTGGAGTTTCTGTCCTCTGCATGGAGAGGGTGAATCTCGGATCTTCCCTGAACTCTGAGTTCTGGGTGGAGAGGAAGGCACCAGGACTCCTTGGCTGAACCCATCCCCATGCAGTTGAGAAGCCGCACCCCGAGGCGAGGGTGGTACAATGTGTGGCCTTGAAGAAGGAGCGGGACAGATCACTGGTTGTACACGCGACCACCGTGTGCCAGTTAATTCCTGCCCCAGCCTCCAGCCCCAGTTCACAGTGACCTCACTTGTAAATCTTGCGTCTCATCTCTGCTCTGGAATTAGGATTAGATGATGGTGTGAAGGGTGAGGGAAATAGAAAGGTAAGTTTGAATGGAATTGACCTCAGAGATAAAAGCTGGCTGCTTAGAGCTAATCATGGAAATTGCTAACCTTTATAAATGATTGCAATGTGCACAGCACCCTACTAAGGGATTTATATATCTTCTCAATTAATTCTTTCCTCAGAATTACCCAGCTACTGTTCCCTTCTCATGCCCGAGGACATGGGATGCCTGCTGTGTGCTTGGTCTCGGGAGGGACATGCGTGGAGGAATGGTTGTTTTGTCAAGGAGCTCCCTTGTACTTGGGTCCTGATTTTGACGTGGCTGCTGTGTATTGTTCGAGGAAACCTGAGTAGGGGGCCCGGAGGAGGGCTCAAAGGCCAACCGTGCTCAGAAGCACAGTTCCTGGGAGCCCCAGATGCGTAAGGGTGAAGGCAGCCTCAGAAGTGCTCTGTCGACCGGGCCCCTGGGCCCGCCTCTCACCAGAAATCAGCACGTGGACTGACTCCCACTCGCCAGCCTGTCTTTCTGGAGGATGCTTCCACCCGGAAGCTGAGTGGGGACAGGCTTTGGGTAACTGGTAGGAGGACTTTTTTCCCAGGTCACAGTTCAGACATGTTTTCAGGACATGGCGACTGTGCTTGGCTCCATTGTGAACGTGGAGCTTCAGCCCCAGAGCTCACTGGTTTTCGAGAGGTGCTACATTTCCCGGAAGCTTATGTTTTCCACTCTTGGCACCTTCACTTTGAGGTTGAGAGGATCAGTAAGTTTCCATCTTAAAGCGCTTTAAGGACAGGTCTTAACTCCCGGAAATGACATGGCCATTGGTTGGTTCAGCATAGACATTTCTGGTTTCAGGCTCAGTGTGACTCCATCGTGGCTGTCAGTCAGTCAGTTGTCGTCACCACCATGAGAGCTCCCCAGGGACCCAGCTGTTCTTTAAAAGACTTCTGAATCTTAATGTGTCACTGTCTTGACCTAATTTCTGAACTTTCTCCATGTGTTCTTAACCGTTTCACTGCATGGCCTTTGACTGTAGGTATTTTTCTTTATTTTGCCTACAATTTCAATGGTTTTGTCACTGGTTATAGGTCTCATACTTAATACATGTTTTCATGTAGATTTACTTTGCAAATTATACTTCCTCTGTTGTCTAGGGGGTGTAGGGTTGGCAATCCCCGTTTTCACGTAGGCTTCTAGGCCTTGTGCTGACTGGAAGGTGCCATAACCAGGTTCAGAGGAGGAGTTTTCGGTTGTTGAAGGAAAGCCCAGTTAAGGGTCCTCTGAGCTTGTTCTGGCTCACTTGTGTCTGCTCAGGTGTTAAAGTAAAACTCCAAACCCAGCATCTGACAAGCAGTGCTCTGCTGAATAATAGTAACTTGTAGCTTATGACTGTGATCTTAGTTTTCACTTAAAGCCGAGTTTTTGAACATTTATATCTTCATATTCTAAAATATGTGGTATGTTTTCAAGTGTGTCATTCATTTCAGAAATACTCTGAGTTGGGAGGTTTTTGGGGCTTAGAGGAATAGGATGAGTGCTTGATTCATTAGAAAATATTAGCAGAGGGGCTGGCCTGGTGGAGCAGTGGTTAAGCGTGCATGTTCCACTTCAGCAGCCTGGCGTTCGCCGGTTCGGATCCCAGGTGCGGACATGGCACTGCTTGGCAAGCCATGCTGTGGGAGGCGTCCCACAAATAAAGTAGAGGAAGATGGGCACGGATGTTAGCTCAGGGCCAGTCCTCCTCAGCAAGAAGAGGAGGATTGGCAGCAGATGTTAGCTCAGAGCTAATCTTCCTCAAAAAAAAAAAAGAATTAGGAGAAAACATAGGGGAATATTCCTTATTTTGAAATGGGAAAGGCCTTTCTGAATTAAAAAGAAGTGGAGGAGGAAGGGCTCCCTGTAAAGAGGTGGGTGGCCGAAGCTGTGTTGCCGTGTGCCTTGCGTATCAGGCTCCAATCACTCAGGCCTGCACTCGGTGATTTCTGGAAGGAACAGCCACTTCCTTCTTACAGCTCCTGGCGCACCGGAGCAATTGCTGGAGTTTCCAAACAGCCCTTTGTGTTCAGTGCCTCCTTTGTCCTTGAGAAGTGGGAATACTTTCTGAGAGGGAGTATCCTCATCTCCCTCTTCAGAGTTACTCTGCAGGCGATCAGGCTCAGGATCAGGCTCAGCTCCACAGGGATTGTTAGAAAGAACTGGATTACCACTGCATTTCTCATAAGTTCTTCTTCGCCGTGCTCACACTTGGAGTCAGTGGGGTTAATTTCTTCAAGAAGGATTTCTGGGAGTGAAAACCTGGGACAGCTCCCACAGCTGTTTCCTTGAGATTCATCAGCATCAGTAATTTATTTGTCTTTAGGTGGCTGATCAACTGCAGCAATTGACATCCCTCCCTCCCCCCAAAAAAGGGAATTTTGGCACCAAAATTCCCCAGTGGTCCTGCAGGCTGCTGTCCAGTGGGTGGACAGTCTGACAGCTTAGGAGGCAGCAGCATTTCCTGGCACCTCTGGGGACAGCATGGTGTTGGGGACTCGGGCAGTAGAAATTGTTTCTACCCTCAGCTCTCTCTGAGCTTGCAGTTCCTGTAGGGAGACTAAATAAGTGTCTGAGAAGTGTGCAGGAGGAAAAACACCTTGGTGTTGGATGGAGAAATGCAGGCGATCCAGCGGACAGAAGGCAGGCCGTTTCGGCAGCTCAGTAGCGCTGGTGTCCCCAAGGGATGCTCACGGGACTTCTGGGAAGGAAGAGGGTCTTCCAGGTAGAGGAGGCGTCTTTCCTACCCGGAGTGCTCAGTGCCATGTTCTGTTTAGAATCTCAGCGTCAGAGCTTGTTTCATCTCTTAGTCTCAGAAATGTTCCTTGTCTTAACCAATCCTGCAAGAGTGCATCCATATCTTCCCTCACTGTTATCTTTTTTGTTTTTTGGGCTGGGCTTATAATTTCGTGATCACTACTACAGATGTGTTTGTTTAGCTCTGGTTTTCATGGGTTAAAGTTTCGGAAGTAGAATTAGTGAGTTATGGAAACTAAATGTTTTCTTTGCTCTTGATACACCTGGCCAATTAGCTTTCAGAAAGGATTTCCAGTTTGTACCCCCTGAGAATGAGTGTGGGGCCAGCTCACTGTACCTCCCAGGCCTGGGTGTCTGGATTCTTCCACGCCTGGCCCTCATTTAACATTTGCACTTTGTCGTGTGTGTGCACTGTCGAAGCGCGTGTTTGCACACCTTTGTACCTGGGTGTCCATTGCGGGGACAGACTCCTCTTTCTGTGGCCCTGTCCTCAGGGGTGCTTTGTTGGTCTCCTTTGTGCCTGGGGAAGAGGACTCAGGGTGATTTTTGGCTGAGAAGCCAGAGGAGGATTTATTGAAAAACAGAAACTATTTTACCCTAAGACTCCAGTGAGCTCTCCCGGAGCTTCAGGGCAGTGACCACTCTAGGTGGAACTTGTTTCTCCTCAGCCTGCAGAGTCCAGTACAGAATGGGGTGTGTGGCCCCAGTGGGTGATGGGGGCGGCCTGTAAGGCGGCAGCTCTGTGTGTGTTAGAACGCCTGGCTGGTGTTTATTCGAAAAGAGATGGATTTTGTGAAGAGAGCAGAACAGGTGTTTATTGAAGCCCAAATCCAAGCTGTCATTTTATTGTTTTTAAAAATTTTTGTTATAAGCACAAAGCTGTCTTTTATTTAAAACCAAGCTGTATCTTTTAAAAATCATAGGCCTGCTTCTTGTTCTATGAACAGATGCTTGTGAGTCATAGAATTGTTTCAAAACCTTTTTTACGCCGGAGTATGATGGGCACATGGGCAGAGTGGTGAGGAAGGGCACAGCTGTCACATCGCCTGGGCGTGAATTTATAACTACTTCTCTTGAATTGTGGCCACCCAGCCAGGATCACAGGGACTCGCTCACATTCAGTGTCTGAACTGTATCCCTGCTTATGTTGAGAGTCAGGTATTGTGATCACTGAAAGCTCTGAAAGGAGATGTTCGTCTTGCTCACTGAGCCTCACTCTGGGCAGCGTGTTGTGGCTGTTGGAAGGTATGGTGACTGTCAACATTGTTAATTAGAAAGCAAGATTGGAAATTAAATATTTGGAACAGATGGTCTCTAAATTAGCTACTCACCTGCGACCATGTTTGCTTTCCAAAATAAGTGGTAGCCTTTATTGCCTTTTGTGAATATGAGTTTTAAATATTAGATATGTTATTATAATCTATTAAAAGATACGATGCTTTCTAAAATGTGCCTTCATGTTTTCAAAACGATTGCTGAGACAGCTTTCTCAGTAGGTTTCATTTTGAGATGTTTTTTAGTTCTTTATTTTTTTGTCTCATGTTTTCCTTTTTTTCCTTTCATTTTGTGTTTTTAAGCTGGTTTAAAATGCTTTTGAATTCTTCTAAAGTGATTGTTGGAGAGGAGGGTGGTGTGTTTGTGGGGACTATATCTCCAGGCCGTACAGAAAGGACAGTGAGGTCCAGCTGCACGCTTGTCCTTGGAGAAGCGACCACACGGGCAGCGTGGTGTGGACCTCCCACCCCAGGCTTTGGGCTGCCTCCACCTCGGTCCCGGGCCCTCTGTGCTCCTGTGAGTGGGTTTCGCCCTTCCCCCGAGCACACCACGAGTGTGTGCACGAAGGATCACACGATTGTGGGGAGGATGAGTAAATGGTTAAAGGTCTGGTTGCTCCGATAGGTCTGGGCCCATCCTGGGCAGAAAAGGTGAAGGACTGTGCGTGCTTTTCTCAAGAGGCGTCATTAACAACAGCTCTGGTAAAATCTAGATGGAGTGTTGGGAAGGACGGGCCCACACTGCACAGGCAAGCAACACATGTAGTTCCAGGGCCTCCTGGTGTGTAAATGGAGGCACCCAGGTGGGTGTAAGGGCTGGGGGGAGGTGGGCTGCTAGGGGAGGTGGGCTAGTGAGACCATGTAAAGTGCTGGGCCAAAAGCACCACGTAAATCAAATTCACCTGCCCTCCATCCCTAGTGGAGGAGGGGCTTATCTGATAGGTGGGTTTGGGAGGAAGACTGTGGCCTGACCTTGGTGGGTCCCTAAATCCCAGCGCAGCTTCAGGATGCTGTTTTCCATCTGTGCTGTGGGCGCACGTGCTCCTCGTCCCTTCCCTAAGCGCTTCTCCCTGACTTCCCTCCTTCCTGGAGTCTGCTTGTGGTGCCCACGCTGAGTGTTCTTCTTGGGATTCCTGCACATTCCTGCTGCACTAATCCCCTACTGCAGCCTCTGTCTACTGCCTGCTGAAGCCCACTTACCTCCCCCAGGGGCCGTGTCCTTCTGTCTCAAGATCAGGGGTTGAGTCTTGTGTCTTTTTTTCATCCCCTAAGAACTGAGCATGACGCTGTCTATATCCTAAGTAGGGTATTGATAACTGAGTAAGGTGGTTGAGGGGAATTTATCTGATGGTTCTGATAAAGAACTGATTCTGGGAACATTCTAGAATTAAGTGGTCCCCAGTATGTTTCTATAGACTAAACAATATCTTACGTCTTTTAAATGTACTATTTTCAAATGTTATTGTGATGAATGACATACAACTTATTTGAATGTTACTCATTCTGATGAATAACAAGTTCAGGATAGGTGGTTGTGGGTTGGGGGAGGGCAGGTGTTGGTGAAAGCTATTTCTTTGTTATTGATAACTTACACATGTGCCACAAATGCTCTGCTGCCGCCACGTGGTGTCTGGTCACACCTGGAGAGCCTGACTTCACACCAGCCTTGGGTCTGCTGTGCTTTCAGGGAAGGCTTGACTGTCGAACCGCATCGTGTGCTGGTCCTGGGGAGTTTTTGACTTTAAAAATGGTTTCATGTTATCTAAGCAGGTGGGACCTTAGTACTTGGTATCTTGCTGACCTCGATCAGCTGTGAATAGTATTTGTCTTGAACCACTTTGTTGAAAAATTGGCCCAAATGCAGGATCCTATAGGAGATGAGACGCCACTGTCTCAGTGCTGAGCTTTCCCGACGAAAGGAGGTATGGTGCAGAGGGCGGGCTCCGGCCTGCGGCCCATGTCTAACACTCCCTCTGCTTGCTGTCTCACAGAGGAGCGGAGGCGCAGGGAGAGGGAGGACCAGATGTACCGTGAGCGGCTGCGCACCTTGTTCGTCATCGCCGTTGTCATGAGCCTTCTGAATGCGCTCAGCACCAGCGGGGGCAACATTTCCTGGAACGACTTTGTGCACGAGATGCTGGCCAAGGGTGAGGTGCAGCGGGTCCAGGTGGTGCCCGAGAGCGAGGTGGTGGAGGTGTACCTGCACCCTGGAGCCGTGGTGTTCGGGCGGCCTGTGAGTGAGGGTGAGGGTGTGGGCTCTGTGGTGCAGCCACTCGGAGGGACCTGGGGGCTCGGGTGCACACCCCTTTCCAGGCAGCCCCTGCTCCCCCCATTTGTTTGACTGTCATCTTTTCGGTTTTCTTGAAACAAGATGTGAGTATCTCTATTCAAAGGAGGACTCATTGAAGGCCTTTGAATGGTGGCCTTCTAAGATGGAGGTTGAAACAGGGGAGGCAGGGTCGTCTCCAGACAGGAGCTGGGGTCTGCAGCTGCTGTGGATAGAGGAGGAGGTGGAAGTAGTGACAGAGTGGCCACAGTGGTGACCGCTGATACTAGGGATCAAGGAGGCGGGCCAGCTGTGGCCCTGAGGTTTCCCTCTGTCAGTCTGGGCATGTGGTGTGGTGCTGGCTGGAGCTCAGCAGACAGGGTAGCTTTGGCAGATGCAGGTGAGTTGAGGGCATGGGGGATTGGCCAAGTGGGAATCTCTCGGTCAGGGGCAGGAAACAGCGCTCTGAGAGGTGGCTGAGAGTTGGGAGTCAGGTGAGGGCTGGCCCTTGGAGAGCAGCAGGAAGAGAGGGACGGGAGGGACCCTGCTCATCTCCCACCTCAGGCACCCCCACCCCCAGGAGGGAAGCCCAGTGTGGACAAGACTGCAGAGTGTGCGGCAGTGAGAGGTGAGGTTGCAGGCATTGCAGAGGGGTTGGGAGGGTGGGACTCCATCACAGGTGGAGGGCTGGGCATCACAGAGGGGGAGAGACTTGCCCTAGTGACAGGGGCCGACTTGTCTGGCACTGCTGGAAAATGAGGGGGCTCATGGAGACTGGGCCCCAAAAGCTTGACCATGTGAAATGAACCACTCTCTCTAGTCTCCCCTCCTGTCCCTCTTACCCCTCCAGATCCCCTAGTAACCACGACACCATTGTTGGGCCCAGGAAAGGCCACTCTGACACAGTGTTTTCTAAAAACCCTGTCCCTGTTGACATCTCCCAGCTGCCTCTCCCTCAGCCTTAAGGGTCCAACCAAGGATCATGAATGATATTTAATTGTCGTGTCTCTTGAGTCTCCTTCCCACTTTTTGTTAGAAGTTTGGACACTGGGAAACTAGACTGGGTCACATCCTGTACCTTTCTCCACGCTGGGAGACACATCGGCGTTCTGGTTTTGACTCAGTCTGCTCACTGGGGACATGGCTTTACTCTTTTCGGTGAAGTATTCTCTCCCTTACAGCAGAATTCTGTGGCACCCCAGAGCATGCCCTGTGTGCACCGCAGCCTTTGCTCTGGTTCCTGGGTAGGGTGGAGTGGTCGGCAGAGTGTTGGTCCTGCTGGGCATGCTCGGCTGTGGGTGCACCACAGCTGCCAAGCTTCTCTTTCAGATACGATCTCGAGCATGGTGTTTGCAGCTGGGTGTCAGTTTGCAAGAGCTTGTAGTGTGGTTGGGTGATAGGATCAATACATACACTGTTAACCAGTCCAAGCTGAACTCCAGCACACTTCAGAAGTGAGGGGTGAGGCAGACGCTGCCTGGGCCTGAGTGCTGAGTGACCTTGGTGGCACTACGGGGCCTGGCCCAAGCAAGGGATGATTTGGGCCCGGGTGATGAGAGGAAGCTTTACAGAAGGAGTGCAAGATGAGTTGGCTTCTGGAATCATACATTTTGCTCTTGGATCTGGGCATAGAAAGAGAGTCATTTCTACATTTTCCCCTTCTGTGCAAATGGGTGACCCTGTTTACGTGGCCAGGCCAGATCTTTAAGTGATTGAGGCATTGATGAAGTCCAGGCCAAACATTTGGGGTCCATTAGGTTCACCCAGCAACTGAGGCCACCTCTGCATCTGGCCTTGTTACCCCATGAAGTAGAGCCTGGTTGGCCACTCTCGTAATGACAGTCATTCCACAAGAAATCTTCTGAGACTCCTAAGAGCCAGAGGGAAATCTGGCTGCTCAATCCAGATTCCAAGAGTTTGTTTGGAATCTGAGCTTGGAGCAGTTTTGCTCTGGAAAGCGTGGCCTCAGCTATCAGGAAACTGTTGCAGGAGTGGTGTGACATGGGCCATGATGGCAGAGACAGTCAGGCCTCCCCACCGAGGCCCCTGCCCTTCGTGGGCTGCTCAGACGTTTCTTCTGAGGGGGCTTCAGGTTACCCCGTGAGCAGGTCGGCTGGCTGAGAAGGGATTTCGGACCCCGTGTGGGCTCCTGGCCTGCTCTTGAGCCTCCTTGGTGAGGCCTACGTCCCGCAGGAGGCAGCACTTCCACTTCAGAAGACTCCACCTGCTCGCTGTTCCTCAGTCTCTTCTCACTTGGAAAGGTTTACTGAGGAAAAAAGAAACCCATGTAGCTGAGTTCAGATTCGGCCAGCGGTTAAACAGAAAACCTGTCTTTCTTGCCTTAGTATGCTGACCGCACGTCCCCAGTCCAGTACCACAGGCTCGTTGCTGTGTCTCTGTGAGCATGCAGGGCTGGGTGTGAGGCAGGGGCCCAGTTTAAAATGCAAATACCACCCTTCATTTTCTTAAAATGTGCCTATTGCTGAAAATAGAGACAGAGTATCTACTGAAATTTTGTTGTAATTGTGTTTGAGAAAACTGAAAGTTTTTAGACCTGGAAGCAGTTTCCGGGGCAGCAGGAAAGCATCACCTCTGTGACCCAGAGCATCAGGATGTGACCCAGTCTAGTTTCCCTGCTTTGTCGGCACAGGATGTTGAGGGACTGTCCTCTTGTAGGTGGGGTCGGCAGTCTGTCCTGTTCATCACTCTCACGGTGTGCTCTGCTTTCTGCCCCCAGCGGCTGGCCTTGATGTACCGAATGCAGGTGGCAAATATTGACAAATTTGAAGAGAAGCTTCGAGCTGCTGAAGATGAGCTGAATATTGAAGGCAAGGACAGGATCCCGGTTTCCTATAAGCGGACGGGATTCTTTGGAAAGTATGTTGGTCATTTTTGTTGGCTCTTGAACTAAACCAGGTTGGCTTTGTGATGTGAGAAACAAACCTCAAACATAGATCTCATACTGGCCTTGCCTGCTGTTGACTAGACCCCCCTTGTGGGAGGGGAAATAAACATGAGTGGATGACGCAGTGCTGGGAGATTTGGAAATCTGTGAGCCTGCTGGAGCTTCCTGTAGTCACTTTTTTTCATTGCCTGTGGCATCTCTTAGTTCCGTGCATTGTAGGGTTGCCATTTTCTACCAATAGGAAAATGGAAGAGGTGGGGAGAAGCAGGGACATCCGGTAGGAGCTCTTGGTTCCACGTCACAGAGAGAAAAAGAGATGGATGGGCCCTGCAGACTGCTTAAGGGATCAAGTTGATCAGCATGGTCACGGGGGTTGTTTCAGCCACACGCTGGAGCCAACAGTGGCTGAGACCTGTATGCGGAGGGGTTTACGTTGGTTCATGGGTGCGCACTGAAGTTCTGATGAGACACAGGGTGCCAGTGACTGGCAAGCGCTCCTCTGAAATGGTCTGTCTCTAAACTCTGCAGCCACTGGCCCCTGAGGCTCTGAGTCCCCTGAGGGTCTGGTTCATGGCAGGGGGGGTCCTCTCCCGCTGCGAGCCCACGCCCTAGGTTCACTCCTTGCTGCTGTGCTTACTTCCCTACTAACCAGAGCTGATGGACTACTTTTGAAAACGAAACACATTAAACATGAAAACCTGCTCTGGTCGGGCATTAATTGTCACAAGGCTCTAGATGGCGGGGTGTGTGAGTAGCGTCGGCCCTCCTGGCTTCATGCCAAGGTTAGGCTCTGTGTCCCCAGCATCTCCACGCTCCATCTGAGGGCTGGGAAAAATGTAAAAGAGGATGATTGGTGAGACGGATGAGGAAACCCACTTTCATGGTCGTTTGTTCTCCACGTTGGTTTTGGCGGGAGGGGTTGCTCTTCTTGTCTTTGAGACCTCCGTGACCTCCGTGGTCCGCTGAGTCTGTGAGGCGTGCCCTCAGCTACCGCTTCCCAGTGATAACTGCCTCCCTCTCCCTCTCTCTCGCTAGTGCCCTCTACGCCTTGGGGATGACAGCAGTGGGCCTGGCCATCCTGTGGTATGTTTTCCGTTTGGCTGGAATGACGGGAAGAGAAGGAGGATTCAGTGCTTTCGTAAGTTGTACAGATCGTATCTCCCTGTACTTGCTGTCTGAGGGTTTGTGTATGTGCTTGCCGAACACGTCCCCCACACTGCAGCACACACACATGAGGAAGAGGGACCTGTCGCACAGGCCGGCCTGGAGCCATCGGTGGGCTCCCCTTTCCTTCTGCTTGGCTGGCCGGAGGGTGTCCGGGAGCCAGCCTTACCTGAGGCCCCTCTCTCCCTGACATGGGGGCTGAGCCGGGGCATCTCTAGGACAGCTTGTTCTGCAGTTTTCAGTGTCAGCTGGGCATCGCTTCTTTTTGGTCTCCCCTGTTAGCTGACATGCTGAGAAATTTTAAAGATTGCCTTTAAAAGGACAACGTTGATACACTTTGAAAATCTTCTCTTGTTGTGGCATTCGTTATAATGTACACGTTCCTTCCCCATCAGGTTGTCTGTGGCCAATCAGCCATGTCAGCAGAGGGGCTGAGGAGGTAGGCCCGTGGCCCAGTCACCTCCTGGTCCCCTCCCGGTCCCCTCCCTGGGAACTGTCACAGGGCAGGGGCACAGAGTGTCGCCTGGTTGCCTCCACTTAGACTAGGAGCATCTTCCTGTGTCTAGCTAAAGGCTCACGCCTTACTTTAATGGCACCCTGGGTCTCATTGTGAGGCTGCATCATGTTTTACTCAATCACTTTGATAATTCTTGCATGTTTTGGGCTGTTTATTTTTATTGTTGTTGTATTTAAATAATATTACAGTGGATTCCGTGCACATGTCTTCTGAGTGCCTAATTACTTGCCTGGCGTGTCCCCCTAAAGTAGAGCCTAGCTGTAGCTCACACACCTCACAAAGAGCTGCATCTCTCTGGCCTGATTGCTCTCCAGAAATTTACCAACTAACATTTCTACCAAGACTCCTTAGAACTGAGTGTTATTATGTTACTTTCTTTCTCTCTTTTTTTTTTGCTGAGGAAGATCATCCCTGAGCTAACATCTATGCCAATCTTCCTCTATTTTGTATGTGGGATGCTGCCACAGCATGGCTTGATGAGCAGTGTGTAGATTCATGCCTGGGCCGCTGAAGTGGAGTGTGTGAACTTAACCACTATGCCACCGGGCCATTCTCTGTTATATTCTTTCATAATCAGAAGAACAAATTACACGATAGTGGGAAAAATCATATAGGAAAATAAGATTGTCTATGCAAAAAATATTAAATTACCTAGCTTGTAGGGGAGAGTTTTTTTTTTAAGGCAAATTGCTAGATGCTACACTGCTTTCTTACTGCTAATGATGTAAAATAAACATTTCTCCTTAAATGTCTGAAATGTTACCTTAATCTCCGTCTGTCTGAATGAGTGGCGAGGGTGTGGGCTGGCATTTCCGGGCAGAGGGAGGGCGAGGACACGGGGATGCACAGGCAGAGCCAGCACCAAGCTGCTCCACTTCCCTGCTCTTCTCGGGGTGCACAGTGCCCTGCCCTTATGTTCCTTCTGCCCAGAATCAGCTTAAAATGGCTCGTTTCACGATTGTGGACGGCAAGACGGGGAAGGGAGTCAGCTTTAAAGACGTCGCAGGGATGCACGAAGCCAAACTGGAAGTCAAGGAGTTTGTGGATTATCTGAAGGTGAGCACGTGCTGAGCAGGAGGTGGCCAGGACGCTCTCCTGAGGGAAGAGCCACACAGTCAGACGTTGTGTCCTGAGCAGGAGCTCCCCGAGTGCAGGTGGGGGGGCCAGGTGCATGCTGCACACGCTGGGGCCTGTTGAACAGCAAGCAGGTGAAATGCGTGGTTGTTAACCAGCGAAGGGCGGTAGTGCAAGAGAGGTCACACCTGAGCCAGCTGGTCGCTGCCAGAGCCCTCTGCGTCTCCCAGAACCGCCTGAACCGTAGCTGATTCATGACAATACATGAGCTGACCTTCACGTGAGGCCTTTCTTGAAAATTCTCTCGGAAACACCTGTGGTTAGTGTCGCATTATCTGCTGCTTTTCTAGAGCCCAGAGCGCTTCCTTCAGCTCGGTGCCAAAGTCCCAAAGGGTGCGCTGTTGCTCGGACCCCCTGGCTGTGGGAAGACACTGCTGGCCAAGGCGGTGGCCACAGAGGCCCAGGTGCCCTTCTTGGCGATGGCCGGCCCGGAGTTCGTGGAGGTCATTGGAGGTAGGTGTTGCCTGGGGGGCTGCAGACAGGCTCACCTGACCATTTGTCCAGAATGGCTCTCCTTTCACACGTCCTTCCTCAGGTTGCTGAACTGACGAGGAAGTGGGGGGAATAGAGAAGGAAGAATGAAACCTGTATTACAGGAAATGTCGTATTTATGTAGAGAATTGGGTGGTGATGTTCTTTGAAGCCACTTCCACTTATGGCCTGGGGACTCCGGGAGATTGAGCGTCCACCAGGGTGACCTCTTCTGGGATGGGGTGCCTGGCTTTGTTTGCACGAGAGGACACTTGCTGAGATTTTGTCACCTTTAGTGGGCAACTCTGGCCCCTGGCACAAACATAGGGTTCATCTCCCGTCACCTGTCTGCTTCCTGGCCCTCTGTGTCCCATCAGGCCTCGGCGCTGCCCGCGTGCGGAGCCTCTTCAAGGAAGCCCGCTCCCGGGCCCCCTGCATCGTGTATATTGATGAGATTGATGCCGTGGGCAAGAAGCGCTCCACCACCATGTCCGGCTTCTCCAACACGGAGGAGGAGCAGACGCTCAACCAGCTTCTGGTGGAAATGGATGGTGAGTGCCCACGTGCCCAGCCGCTCTTGTGCGGGAAGGTTTCCTCCCTCTTTCAGAACAGTCGTTTTCTAGGGTCACGCTGCTTATGTTTATTGTTCCAGAACCTTACACTAATGCTCATAGGCATTTTATTTTCCTCCAGTCACTGGTCTATATTGTTTCTCCACCACGCCACCTGCCAGAGGTGAGGGTGATGTCAGCACAGAGAGAGCTGTTCTGTAGCAGGTAAGAACCAGAAACAAGGCCAGTTTAAGGAGTAGTCAGCATCTTGCTGCTTTCAAGAAAGACAGCTTTTAATTTTAAAAAGTCAAGATGATAGTGAAAAAGAAAAAGGAAAAAAACTGGGAATATAGGTGGCAGGTCAGGTTGTGATGGCAAGTTCCAGCCTGGAGGAGCCAGCTGATTGTGCTGTTGTGCGTCTCTATGCCGCCTGGTTGGCTGAGGTTGGATGGAGCAGGACATCCGTGGAACGCAGCTGAGGCCTCTGGTGCCCTGAGGAGGTGCTGTGTTTGCTGCCCTTGAACATGACCTCAGGCTGGCTTGCTTTCTTTTTCTTTTTAATGGAGATGACCCAGTAAAGGTGACATGGAATTGTGTTTCTTCTGAGTTACCTTTGTAAGATCCTCTTTTTTTGGTGAGGAAGATTGTCCCTGAGCCAACGCCCCTGCCCATCCTCTTACACTTTACATGTGGGACGCCACCGCAGCCTGGTTCGATGAGCAGTGTGCAGGTCTGCACCCTGGATTTGAACCTGCGAACCCTCGGTTGCCAAAGCAGAGGGTGTGAACCTGACCACTATGCCATTGGGTTGGCTCCTTCTTTTTTTTTTGGTGTAGATATGTAATGTATGTTATTTATTTATTTATCTATTTATTTATTTAAAGATTGGCCCTGCGCTAGTGTCTGTGCCTATCTTTTTTGTTTTTTTCTTCTTCTCCCCAAAGCCCCCCAGTACATATTGTATATTATAGTTGTAGGTCCTTCTGGCTGTGCAGTATAGGATGCTGCCTCAGCATGGCTTGATGAGCCGTGCTAGGTCTGTGCCCAGGATCTGAACTGGCAAAACCTTGGGCCGCCGAAGTGGAGTGCGTGAACTTAACCACTTGGCCACAGGGCTGGCCCCTGTATGTTTGTTTGTTTATTTATTTTTTGAGGAAGATTAGCCCTGAGCTAACTACTGCCAATCCTCCTCTTTTTGCTGAGGAAGACTGGCCCTGAGCTAACATCCATGCCCATCTGCCTCTGTTTTATACGTGGGACGCCTACCACAGCATGGCTTTTGCCAAGCGGTGCCATGTCTGCACTGGGATCGGAACCGGTGAACCCCGGGCCGTCGAGAAGCAGAACGTGCCAACTTAACTACTGCACTACTGGGCCGGCCCCTGTATGTTTATTTTTATTGTGGTAAAATATACATAACATAAAATTTACCATTTTGACTATTTTTAAATATACAGTTCAGTGGCATTAAGTACATTCACATTGTTGTGCAACCATCACCACCATCCCTCTCCAGAACTTTGTCATCTTCCCAAACTGAAACTCTGTCCCCATTAAACACTGACTCCCCATCCCCTTCCACAGCCCCTGGTGCCCACCGTCCTACTTTCTGTCTCTGTGAATCTGACTCCTCTTGGTCTCTCATATAAGTGGAGTCATCCAGTGTTTGTCCTGCTGTATCTGTTTTATCTCACTCAGCATAATGTCCTCAGTGTTCATCCATGTTGTAGCATGGGTCGGAACTTCCTTCCTTTTGAAGGCTGAATAATGTTCCATTGTGTGGATGGACCACATGTTGTTTATCCATTCATCGGTTGATGGACACTTTTGGCTACTGTGAATAAGGCTGCTGAGAACATGGGCATACAAATGTCTCTTCGAGACCCTGCTGTGTAAGATCTGTTTTTAACTTTTCTTTAAGCAGAATTCTACTTCTATATTAGATATTGTAGTTGATGGAGACACTTTTTTCTCAAAGTATTTTTGGTTCTAAGAGAGCTTTTATTTGTGTATTTATTATCCTTTTTAAAGTGTTTGTACTGTTTGGCCAGCATATGGATAGTAGAGTTTGACTGTGAGTGAGACTAAAGGCAAAACTTTCTTTTAACCTCTCGTTTTAAAATAATTTCAGACTTACGAAAATGTTGCAAAAGCAGTCAGCGCATTCCTTTATATCTTCCTCCAAGCTTCCCAGAGGCCCACATGGACATGACCAGGATGCGAGCGTCCACGTGGGTGGCCTCTCATCCCACAGACGTGCCTTTTTTAGTCCAGGATGCAGTCCAGCCTCACACATTGCGTTTAGTTATCCTGTCTCCTTGGTGTCCTCCAGCTGGCACTGTTCCTGCGTCTTTGTCTTTCTGATACTTCTGTGAAGGGATGTCCCTACATGAGGCTGTGCTGTTCCTCAGAGTCAGGTAGAGCTGTGCGTTTTTGGCAGGAAGATCCCAGCAGTCTCGCTGCCCCTCACCACACACAGCGTTGACGCACCTTGTCCCTGTGTGGGACATGGACTGAGCTGCAGGCGCGTGGCGAGGCCTCTCTTCACGCGCTCTCACGCAGGTCAGGTGGGCTGCTGCACTGGAGGCTTCTGTAGGCTCGGAAAGTTCGCGTTTTAAAATCGGAGCATCATTCCTCAGAGCTGAGGGAAGGGCTGACTTGCATCATGAGAAGAGTGGTTACATCTGGAGCTGCCCCTGCAGATCCTGCGTCCCGTCTCTCCCTCGTCCAGGCAGCCGTCAACATTTGCTCAGGGACTACTTATGGCAGCAACAGTCAGGGTCTGAAGGGCCACCTTCCACATGAAGAGCAAACTTTCTTGGCAAGGACGTTTCTGAAGAACTCAGTGCCTTTGGACACATGAATGGAGTGGGGCTCAGATTCTGACATGTAGCTGTCAAGAGACACCCTCAGAGGTGGGGACTCTCCAAGTGCACTCTCTAGGCCAGGTCCCAGGGACCCACTGGGATTCTATACCCCTCCTCTGGGGGCGTGTGTGCTCCCTCCACCGAGTGCTCTGGCTGTGATGAGCTGGATCTGCTTTTCAAGCTGTGTACTATTTTATAGTTGAAAAAGCTATCCTCTGAAGTCTCCAACTTCTAAGAAACCACATCGCATTGCTTCTCTTTTGAATGGCTTTACATGATCTCTTAGTGGCGTGTTGCCTTCACTGTGGCTTTGGTGATTGCTTCCAGAGGTCGTTTTGGAGTCTCAAAGAAATCTGGAACTCCCCTTGGGTTCTGGCCGCAGGGTCTCGTGACCAGTGAGGGTTGGGTAGGTGGACGGCCATGATGGGCCGGCTGCGTTCTGTCCGGCAGCTGTGACCCTGCGCCATGCATTTGAGGAGTCTCTGCTCAGAAGTGCCAGATTGTGATGATAGCTTCTGGTCATCTCTTTAAAAGAGAGAATAACCTTTGTGATGTTGAGAGTACAAAGGGAGAACATCTTTTGAAAGTCATCAGATGACTAGTTGGCTGTCCAGACTAGATGCCTCCTCAAGTTCAACCGCTCTGGCAGGTATGGCGATGTTTACATTTGTCCTTTGGCTCCTGCAGATGCCCGTCCATGTGCTGGGCCTCAGGCATGCTCATGGACTTGTGGAAGGACCCTGTGGAGTTCACGCTGGTCCTTCTTTTCTGAGCTGGGTTTTCTGATGTGTAAAATGAGGTTAAAGTGCATGACCTCATCTGTGATTCTGTGACCTATTTGTGAGGGGACTCAACGGGGAGGCTCCCACATAGCTCTCTCAACTGAGCACTCGAGGCCCTGAGAAGTAGCACATCTCTTTCTGCTTATCTTGCCTTCTGCACTTGAAGACAGAGACCACCTTTTTGGGCAGACTTGAGCCCACCAGGAAGCATTTACCAAATGGCATCTTCCTCTGAGCTGGTCCTCTCTACGCTGCCGTGAAAGGAGCTGCTTCCGCCCCAGGATTTGCTCTCGCCCAAGAATCCCTGACTGAAGCCCTCTTGTTGGGCTGGGCCAGCAGCTAACAAGTCCCTCTGTGCGCAGACACAGCCGAGCATTCTCAGCCCTCCAGATTTATCTGAGGAGTCTTTGTCACTCGTTGGGGAAGAGCAGTGTCTATTCATTGAAGTACAGAGCATGGAGCAGATGCTGTGCCCGTCGTGGGAAAAGCTTACCGAGGAAGAGAAATCCCCGGCTCATAGGCCAGGCAGGGGCGGCCCTGCAGGACCGTCAGACCACATGGGAGGGCACCTGCCTCGGAGAGCTCTGGGTTCGGCCTAGCCGAGTTGCCTGTTGACAGTCACCTTTTTACAGTTTGATCGGCAGAAAGGGCTTTGCACTTCAACGTCTCCGTCAGAGCTATTGTGTTAGAAAGAATATCGGAGACATGAGCTCTCATTCCACAGGGAGCCATTAGAAACCCCAGCTACGGTTCATGTGGCTGCTTCTGTTTTAAATCTGCGACCCATTTTTAGTTGGTTTTTGTGTAGGTGTGAGGTTTAGGTTGTCCTTCACCTTCTTGCCTGTGGATGTCCAACTGCTCCAGCAGCGTGTCTTGGAAACACTGTGCTTCCTTTGGATGGCTCATGCTCCTTTGTCAGAGCTTAGCTGGGCATATTTGGCAGAATCCGTTTCTGGGCTCTTTGATTCCTCCCGCTTTGTCCTTCCTGACCAGCAATGTTATAGCTCCTTCCTTTGCCTTTTCATATAATTTTGAGAATAGGCTTGTCCACATCCACCAAAAAGTCTTGCTGAGGTTTTGATTGGAACACACACCTACTAGGATAGCTAGAATAACAAACAGTGGCCACACCAAGTGCTGGGGAGGACCCCAGTCTGTGGGTGGATCTGGACTGGGCCCTCACTGGAATAAAGCAACTGCAGAAATACATCCATGAAGCTGTCGGGGAGATGTGGACCTGACACGTTGCAGTGGGGATGTGAAATGGTGTGACCTTTCTGGGAAACAGTTTGTCAGTTTCTGAAAAAACTAAATGTACACTTACCACATGACCCAGTATTCACATTCCTGGGCGCTTATCCCAAAGAAGTGTTCACACAGAACACCTGTGTGGGAATGCTCATGTATTTGTAATAGCTGAAAATGGGAAACGGCCAGATGTCCTTGAGCAAGTGTGTGAACTGCGGTGTGCGCTCACCTTGGTGGCCCGTGCAGCACTGTAAGGAAGCGAACTGTTCTCACACGCGGCTGCTTGGGTGGCTCTCAAGGAATTATGCTCAGTGAAGAAAGCTGACCTCAAAAGTCTACATAATTGTATGATTCGATTTGTATGAGCTTGTTGAAATGACCAAATTCTAGAGATGGAGAACACATGCCTGTTACCAGGGTTAGAAAGGCAGAGGGGAAGGGCTGTGACTGTAGAGGAGGTCTCGTGGTGGTGGAATCGGTCTCGATTGAGGTGGAGGCTCCGTGAGTCTGCATGTGATCAGATTGCAGAGGACTCAGCACAGAGGAGGGCGTGCCCGTAGGACGGGGGGGCTCCCACTAAGGCCTGTGGGCTGCGTAGCATGTTCTCCTGGTTTGACACTGCACCCTTGCTACTTAACATGCAACTGTGGGAAACTGGGTTGAGGGGACTCTCTCTGCTGTTTTTGCAACTTGCTGTGTATCTATGTCAAAATCCACAGTTTGAAAAACAAAACAAGGGCCCAGCCCCAGGAGGTCTGCACCCTGTGGTCCGTCTGAGCAGCCCCTGGCCTGAGAGGGAGGGAGCCGCTGTCATGGGATTGTGCAGTGCAGTTACGAACAGCCTGCTGTGAGGCCACAGTGGCTGACACACTCCAAGAGCTTAATTGTGTAATATTTCTTCTAAATGTCACTTTCGTTAAAAGACTTGATGGAGATTTAAAATTTGTCAATGTCAGTTTATTAGGAATTTTTAAGTTAGCGAAGGGTAGATCATGGATCTTTATTTTATGGAACTTTTTAAACATCCACAAAAGCTGAGAGGTGTGTGGTGAGCCCTGTGTCCCAGGCCAGCCTCAGTGCCTGTCAGGAGCTGGCCTGTCCTGGTCCACTACCCTCCCTCTCCGGCCCTCCTGCCCAGTGAGTTATTGTAAAGTAGAGGAAGTGCGGTGACGGAGCGTGAGGAGAGGGCCCCTGCTCCCCAGGTCCCCCGTTAGCATTGGTGAGAAGCAGGTTCCCTCCGGGGATGCTGTGTGGATGTAGAGGATGGCCTAGACAGAGCCCAGGTGTGGTCTGCGGTTCTGCCTCTGGGCTGGTGGGCTGGGGGAAATAAAACAGGCGAATTCTGCCTCTTATGGTGATTTTGGTGAAAGGTTCTCAGGGAAGCATCAATCCTGGGTCAGTTCATGGCTTCTAGTTCAGAATGACGATGTGTGTGTTCCTTTCCCCAGGACCCCAGTGGGAGATCTCTCCCGTCCTGTGTCCTGGAAGAGGACCCTGTGGGGAATGCTATTGTGTTGGGGACCCCTACTTTAACAGCCACGGTCTGTCCCCCCAGGAATGGGCACGACTGACCATGTCATCGTCCTGGCGTCCACCAACCGAGCTGACATTTTGGATAATGCTCTGCTGAGGCCAGGCCGGCTGGACAGACACGTCTTCATTGACCTTCCCACGCTGCAGGTCAGTGTGGCCTGGGGCTGCTGTCCTCGGCCCAGTCGCCTACTGCTGTGCCTTTGGTCTGTCCAGACGTGGGCTCACTGCTCTCCTCTTGGTTTTGCAGCTTGTTTCTGTCACTCATGTTTTTCTCCTCATCCTCGAACGTCTGGGTTGAATGGACTGGTCTGGGTTGAGTTCTGTGGCGCGTTCTTTGGAGAGCCTCAGAGCTCCATCCTGAGCAGTCAAGTACTCAGGTGCTCCCTGGTTTTGGAGCATGAGCTGTGCAGCTTCCCTGAGCTGGTGGAAGCAGGTGGAAGCCCTGGCAACCTCTCAGCCCGCCAGCCTCCCTGTCTCAGGCCTCTGGGGGTTTGGGGCTTCGTGGTGACGCCTGAGGGAGCAGGGACCCAGCGTGCTGTGAGGAGGATCACGTGTGTGGGAGGGACCCAGCATGAGTTGGAAAGGATTTGGAGGGTCGCCCTGGCAATTAGCTAGTTGGTTAATGTCCCGTGGAGTCCCGAGGGGGGAGCAGGGCTGTGGCCCATGGCACACCCCAGTGATCGTTCTGGGGTGATTCTCGACTGCTCCTCCCTAAGAAGCAGAGGAAGGCACTCCCCTGACACCACTCTCGAGGAGGGCTTCCCGTCTTTCCAATACAGATAACATGGATAGCGGGGTCCAGAGCACATGGGATGTACATGAATCATAAGTTCTACAAGAGAGGCCCTTGCTGTGTGTGATGCACCTTGTCCATTCTGTTTCCCTTTCTTCCTTTTCACTCTTGGAGTGCTGTGTGCAGCTCTAAATTGGTTTCACAAACCATGGGTTGTGACTGACGATGAAGCAACTGATCTAAAAGCCAGTGGCTCCTGAGCAGCTCTTGTCTGCGGGGCAGGCGTGTTGGGGGCCTGGAATGTCAGTCAACATGAGCCCCCCCCCCATGTCCTTTCTTCCTGGCAGGAAAGGCGGGAGATTTTCGAGCAGCACCTGAAGAGCCTGAAGCTGACCCAGGCCAGCAGCTTTTACTCACAGCGCCTGGCAGAGCTGACGCCGGGGTTCAGTGGTACGGGAGCTGGTTCTTGTTGGTCCTGAGGGTCGGCTGGCCTTGCCTGCACACTTGGGCACAGGCCTCCCCACGTTCCCTCTGTCCCCCCTGCTCAGGGCCCCGCGGTCAACACAGCCTGGGTTGGAGTGCTGTTGTGCACACAGAGTGAGCGGCAGATAGAGCTGCACAGTACTTTGCTTTTCCTCCCTGAGGGTGGAGAACCCACAGTGCTGTGTCCCCACACTGGTAGTTCGGCCTTCAGGGCTCCGAATACTGCTGCTTCAGATCCTGTCCAGCACAGACCCTGTGTTCCTGCTCTTCCCCACCAGGTGCTGCCATGCCAGGCCTTGTCACCCCTGGGGCACCACTGCCCTCCCTCATGGTCTCAGGTTTAATTCAGTAGAGACAGACATCACAAATCAGGATTTGGGGCCAGCCCTGATGGCCTGGCAGTTAAGGTTCTGCACACTCTGTTTCAGTGGCCTGGGTTCAGTTCCTGGGCTTGGAACCACACCACTCGTCTCTCAGTAGCCATGCTGTGGTGGCGGCTCACATAGAACTGGAAGGACTTACAGCTAAGATATACAACTATGTACTGGGGCTTTGGGGAGAAAAAAAAGGAAGATTGACAACAGATGTTAGCTCAGAGTGAATCTTTCCCAGCACACACAAAAAAAGAAATCAGGATTTTTTTCCTGTATGGCTCTCATTTTAAAGGGCAATGTAAATAATTCCTTTTATTATGATATAATTTCTTCCCTTTTGATTTTTTTTTAACATCTTTAACTAGACTCTTTTGGATACTAGAGAGCCTTTAATTTCTTCTCCATCAATGCGTGCATGAAGTATTAGGTGGAATAAAACCCAGGGTGATGTGGTCACACTCAAGTGGTGAGGTGTCTGGAGAGGCAGATGCACGGAAGGAGGTGGGAGTGGCTGTGAGCAGGTGGTTCAGGTCTGTTGTGTGAAATGGCACTTGGCCTCCTGCTCTCGGCCCTCTCCACCTGCACCCCTGCCCTCAAGTCCCCTCATCTGCTTGAACGCGTGCCCCCCCTCCTCCCAAGCCCTGAGGGAGCAGAGCCAACGCCCCCGGTGTGCTGACAGGTGCTGACATCGCCAACATCTGTAACGAGGCCGCACTGCACGCTGCACGGGAAGGGCACACGGCCGTCCACACCTTCAACTTCGAGTACGCTGTGGAGCGCGTCATCGCTGGTATGAGGACCTGGTTCTCCACAGGGCTCGTTCCCTACATGCTGAGAGGAAGGGGGATGGAGGGAGCCGGGTCAGGCTTAGACGTCGTGTGATGGAAGTGATTAGCAAAGGATTATTGGACAAAATACATAAAGTGTTTCTGTTTTTGAGTCAGGTCTTTACAATGGACTTATTTTTCCTTCATTTAAATACTGCATGTTTGCCTAAGAGCAGACACACTCTTCAAATAGAATATAGAAGGATCTGGCAAACTCACATGTGAGTGGCGCTCACCTGGGGACAGGGACCCAGGTGGTAGACGTCTGGTGATGACCCTGCTCTAATGATGGGGTGGAAATTGCGCGTGGCCAAGGAGACAGCCTGGCATTCTTAGCCTGGGTGATCTGCAGCCCAGCTCATTTTCTTGACCTTCTTTCAGGGACTGCCAAAAAAAGCAAGATCCTCTCAAAGGAGGAACAGAAGGTGGTTGCATTTCATGAGTCAGGCCATGCTCTGGTGGGCTGGCTGTTGGAGCACACCGAGGCTGTGATGAAGGTAAGGTCCTGTGGGCCGACCTGACAGGCCCGTGAGCAGAGCTGACCTTGGAAGCACTGCATGTCTGTGCTGGGGCGCAGACAAGGTGGGCCTGGGCCAGGGTGGGAGGCGACTGCAGGCTCCGTCATCCTGGGAGGCATAGGGTTGGGGAGGTCTTTCATCTGAACCAGGGGCTCCAGTCATGGGCATGACAGTTTGAGGCCACACTCCCCTGTCTACACAGTCAGTCTTGTCAGCTCTGAAGTGTTTTGATGTAATGACTCCTAGGCTTAAAGAGAAGTGAGTTTAGTCTACATTTTTAAAAACACTACTCTTGTAGACAATTGTGAGCTTGATGAAAGTTTATTTGTATCAAATGGTAATATCATAAACACCTCCTCAAAATGTGTAGCTTCATGACCAGGAGATCCTGAGTGACCGCTGAGGACAATGTAAGTATTTGGGATGCGGGTGCCCAGTCTTTAAAGCTGAGGGTGTGGGTTGTGACCTGCTGGAGCCCGGAGCAGAGCACATGGGGGCCTGTGCATCCAGTTTGGTTCCACCAAGCTGTGAGGGACCTGCACTGCACTTCCTGAGCTTCCAAAAATGGGACCATGTAGCAGTTGCCGGCCTGCTGTGTTGCTGTTTAAATGTCTGTTAATTTTCTTTTCAGAGGTGTTAGTTGTAGCAAAGTAGATTGTTAGTCTGGTGGTGTTTGATGATGTCCTACCGATCAGGCTGGTTCCTTTTATGTGCTCATCTGAGGGCTGGAAGTCTAGTGTCTTGTGACAAAGATGATCATATGCAGCAGTCACTGAGGTGACCAGGGCTGGGCCCAGAGTGAGGCAGGCGGGACAGCTACCAAGGGTGTGACATTTATGGGACACTCAAAAATTCAGTAATGAAGGTAAATATTTTAAAGATTTTATTTTTCCTTTTTCTCCTCAAAGTTCTCTGGTACATAGTTGTATATGTTTAGTTGTGGGTCCTTTTAGCTGTGGCGTGTGGGACGCCGCCTCAGCATGGCCTGACGAACTGTGCCATGTCCATGCCCAGGATCTGAACCAGCGAAACCCTGGGCCACTGAAGTGGGGTGCATGAACTTAACCACTTGGCCACGGGGCCAGCCCCTAAGATAAATATTTTAATATGCAGTATCTCAAAAAAAATTAATGCAGAAAAATCCACAATTAAGTAAATATCATAATTAACAATTTCCCATTCTCAGAATTTTCACTTCATTTGATGGCTAAAAGTCAGATAAACTAGTTGTAATGAGAAACCCCTCCAAGGCTCAGTACTCTGCTGGGGACAGATTGTGAAGTTCCTGTCACTGATCTGGTCCTTATTTATAGCCTTTTCAATTGTAATTGACTTTAGTGCTAGTTTTAGGTTGTCTGCCCTTCAGATTCTGCGGTGCTGTAACCCTCAGAAACAGTGCCTGCTGCAGCACAGCTCCTGCTGCCCCGAGGCCCCCTCCCTGTCGCTCCTGCAGCAGGTCTCATCCCGCTGGAGTGGTGGCCCCGTGGTTACACCTGGTGTTGGGCTGGGGGCAAAGGCAAGGAGAGTCCCCACTCCCCTTTTGTATCCTCAAGCCAGCGTGTCTGTGGTTTGGCGCAGGGCGCTCATGCAGGTCGGTGGCCTGCAGTGGAGGCGGTGATGGAGGAGCAGTGCAGACAGCCCAGGGTGGGGGGTAAGGGGAGGAGTTTGTCCCTGACCTCTTGGTTGGCCTCACCTAAGTGGCCCTGTCTCCGCTGTTCTTTACTTCATATATATGTAGTAATGTGTGAGGAAGACACCGCACAGTGTGTGAGCCTCCTTCAGTGATAGGATCATGCTTTCCTGTGAAAACGGGGACAGTACAGAATTGCTTCACTGCTTTGAAGCCCTCCAGTTAGAGATCTTACGTTGCCCCACCTTTGTCTTTGATGCCTGCATCCTGCCTGCTAACTCGGGCCGCCTGACATCCTGCAGGTGTCCATTGCGCCGCGGACAAATGCTGCACTGGGCTTTGCTCAGATGCTCCCAAGAGACCAGCACCTGTTCACCAAGGAGCAGCTGTTTGAACGGATGTGCATGGCCCTGGGCGGCCGCGCGTCAGAGAACATCTCCTTCAACAAGGTCACTTCTGGTGAGGAGCCGGCCGGGTGGGACTGAGGGTTTCAGAGTGCCTTCACACCCGTTATCATGTGGGGTGAATGCTGGGGCGTCTGAACAGGGGGATGCACGTGTGCTTGTGAGTTTTATTAAGTGTCTTTAAAAGACGAGCTATATGAGGCCAGCCCGGTGGCACAGTGGTTAAGTTTGCATGTTCCACTTCGGTGGCCCAGGGTCGCCAGTTCAGATCCGGGTTCGGACATGGGACTGCTTGGCAAGCCATCCTGTGGTAGGCGTCCCACATATAAAGTAGAGGAAGATGGGCATGGATGTCAGCTCAGGGCCAGTCTTCCTCAGCAAAAAGAGGAGGATTGGCAGCAGATGTTAGCTCAGGTTTAATCTTCCTCAAAAAGGAAAAAAAAAAAAGATGAGCTATGGAAAGGAGATTTGGAACTAAGCAAGGCTTTTTAAATAATTTGATACAAAAACACATACATGTGCAAAAAACACATACATGTGCAGACTGTAAATGCGTTTAATTGGTTAATTGTTGGCAATGGCTACATAAAACTGTATAAAATCCAAGCAGCTTCCCTGTTCTGAAGCTGTTGCCTCAGTCGACTGTGCAGAGAGGAGGCGGAGGACACTCCTGGCTTGTCCCAGTGACTCTGGGGCTCTGTGCTGGCGCGCGCCCTGTGCAGACCTGGGTTTGTGTCGGAGAACTGCTGGGAAGTGAATCTGAGCACGCATCCTGAGGAGCTGCTGCTTAAACAAAAGAGCATTTTTAAAAGTTTCTTTTAAGGAACAGTAAAAGAGTTTGTTGTCCCCTGGGTGCTCTGCTTGCTGTCAGGCCCAGACGTGTGCCAGTGGGGCACCAGGGTGCCCTGGCCTGGCACTACTGGAAAGAAACGTTTTTTCTTGAACCCACGTTCCAGGGGCGCAGGACGACCTGAGGAAGGTCACCCGCATCGCCTACTCCATGGTGAGGCAGTTTGGGATGGCACCGAGCATCGGGCCCGTCTCCTTCCCCGAGGCACAGGAGGGCCTCACGGGCATCGGACGGCGCCCCTTCAGCCAGGGCCTCCAGCAGATGATGGACCACGTGAGTCTGCATGGCCCTCGCTGCTGTACCTCTGCCCAGCGTCGGCCGCGTCCTGCGCTGCAGTGAGGTTAGGAGACAGGTCTTGTGCTGGTGCCCTCTGCCACGTGAGGCCCCCACTGCGCTGAGCTGAGAGCTGTCATGTGGCCCCCACATCGTGGGTGTTCTTCCTGGCCTCTGTTGCAGCTCTGACCTGCCAAGTTTTTGTTCTTGGATGAGGACCCGTGTGGCTCCTGATGAAACTGTAGGTTATGTGGAACTGGGACAAATATCAAATAAATGCACTGAATGATAGAGCCAGTGTCCCGTGGTCCCTGTAGGGATGCACTGCATTGCCCACGTGAGACTGGACCAGGGCAGGGGTCCCCATCCTGGGGCAGCTCCACTCGGCCTGGTGCACAAGCAGCTCTGGGCATAGAGGACAGAAGCGGGCTCCCTGGCCTCCAGGAGCTGGCAGGGTGTCTGTGGGTGTGAATGGGTGGCAGGCAGGCATTCCCAGGGGAGAGGCTAGGGGCAGGAAACTATTGGCAGCTGGGCTCTCCTGTTCATCCTAAGAGACGAGAGGCTGTGTTCTGAACCTGCATTTCTTCCACGTACTTTGGTGCAGAGCCAGGCCATAGATGACACTGGGAACATTGGTCAGCTGTCCTTGCTCCTTACAGATCTGTTCTCTTTGATTGGCAGGAAGCAAAACTGCTGGTGGCTAAGGCCTACAGGCACACCGAGAAGGTGCTGCAGGACAACCTGGACAAGCTGCAGGCGGTGAGACCTCTGAGCCCCCGCCTGTCCCCCAGAAGTTGGGGAGGGCCCTGACTGTCACTGCACTGTGCCGGCACAGCTGGCTGCCTGCCCTCTCGTGGACTGTTGTCCACAGACCTGGAGCAAGCAGGATAACCGATGTGTGTTCCATTCAGTTCAGCTGAAATGAACATTTTCCATACCTTTTAGTTTTTTATTACAAACGTGTCCAGTCACTTCCTCCCGAGGAGACAGAAGAACATAACAACCCATGTGCCCCTTGCGCAGCATCAGCAGTAATTAGCGTTTGGTCACTTCCCTTTAATCTTTTCCCAACTCTTAAACTCTTATCAATTTTTTTTTTTTTGAGGAAGATTAGCACAGCATGGTTTGTCCTGCAGTGCCATGTCCGCACCCGGGATCCAGCAAACCCTGGGCCGCCGAAGCAGAACGTGCGCACTTCAGTGCTGCACCACCGGGCCAGGCCCAAACTCTTGTCAATTTTTAAAATAAACTTTAAAGTTCAGAATAGTTTTAGATTTATAGGAAAGTTGCAAATATAGTAGAGAGTTCCTTCTACTGGAGACACCCAGTTTTCTCTGCTGTCAGCGTCTGCCACACCTAGTGAACCAGAACTGACGTGTTCTTAGTGACTGAAGCGCACACCTTAGTTGGACTTCCTCAGTGTTGCCCTGCGTCCCGTCTATGGTCCACCCTCTCCCCAGGGTCCTCCTGGCCGGGGCGGTTTCTCACTCCCTGTTGTGATGGCCTTGGCCTTTATGAGGCCTGGCCTGGTGTGTGAAGTGCGTCCCCCAGATGTTCTCACAGTGAGCCTGCGCGTTGGGTTTGGGGAAGGTGACCTCAGAGGTGAAGTGACTGTGTCCCGGCAGAGGGTCAGCTCCTGGTGGAGGGGCTCAGTGTCGTCCCTGGACCAGCAGCACCAGCCTCACTGGATGTTGTGAGCAGTGCAGAGTGTCAGGCCCACCGGACCTGCTGAGCCGGAACCTGCCATTCACGGCTGTGGCTGCTGCCCAGGCCTCTGGCTCTGTGGCGGGCTGAGAGTGTCCTGTCTCTGGTCTGCACTGTGGCCTCCTCACACCATTGGTGGGTTCAGAGTTCAGCAAGATAGTGGGGCAGCGTGCAGAGGAAGCAGTCGCCCCGATCTGGGGGTGACGGAAAGCAGTCAGGAGCAGCCGTGCAGTGTCCCCGTGTAGTCGGCACCGAGCCGGCAGAGATGAACTGCTGGGGCGGGATGCTCACAGGGTTCCTCAGCATGTTTCTCACGACCACGTCTGGAGCGGCAGAGCCTCCCTTCGCAAACTGTGAGGGCCCTCAGACCTCAATGCCAGCTCCCTCTCCCCAGATCCCAGTGAGGGGCTCTGCGTTTTAGCTTCCCACTCCCCGACGTGCACACATGCACACCGTTTGGCAAAGGGAGGTGGAAGGCTGACGAGGCCGGCAGCTGGGGGTCCTCTCCAGGCCTCAGACAGGGAGGGATTCTTTGCTGGAGCTGCCTGCATGTGCTGCTTCCCTGGGAAAGTGGCCTGTCGGGGCCTCCTGCTCACAGACGCCCCTTCCTGGGAGGGGGGCCCCTCCCTCCTGGGTGCTGCGCTCTCAAAAGGCTCTTGTCTGTCCTTGTCGGGGGCTCACACACTGCCCTGCTTGTTCCTCCTAGCTGGCGAATGCCCTGCTGGAAAAGGAAGTGATAAACTATGAGGACATCGAGGCCCTCATTGGCCCGCCGCCTCACGGACCCAAGAAGATGATCGCGCCTCAGAGGTGGAGCGACGCTGAGCGAGAGAAGCAAGATGCCGGGGAGGAGGAGGCGCCTCAGCAGCCCCCGCTCCGAGGGGAAGAGCCATCTTGGCCCAAATAGTGGGATCACCCTGACTGCCCGTGGGGCTGCGGCGTCTGCCAGGCCCAGAAAGCGAGCTCCTTACTGGCTCCTTCAAGTTCCCTTCGCCAGAGACTCGGCCTGCTCTGGTCTCTGCTGAGGGCTTCCGAGCTCTGTGTGCCCATTTCCCCCCCCGGGATTAGTAAAGTCTTCGAGAGATGGATGGTTCAGCTTTTGTTTTAGATGGTTTTCCTCCACGGGAGGGTCCCAGGTGCGCGTGGAGCCCTTCTTGAGTTCCCCAGTCTGTGACCCTGTCACTTCTTGGTGTGGGGGGATCCCAGGGCAGTGCAGCGGGCAGGCTCTGAACAGCCTGTTCATGCCGGGGCTGCTGCATGGGCTGCTCCCGGCTCCTGTGTCTTCACCAGAATGCTAATGGGATCTGCGATGAAGGGACCCTCTGAGCCGATTGTCACTGGTTCCTTGCTGGGCCCTGTCCTTGTGCTCACTCGTCAGTGGGGATACCGAGATTCTAGAGGATTAAAACACTGCCACCTACTGCTGTGTGGACCACTGAGCACGAGAACCTCTCCTTGCTGGTCTGGTGGTGCTGTGGGGGACACCTGAGAACTGTTGGGATACTTACCAATAAATTCTGTGGATGGAGAAGGTCGTTGTATTGCACTGCCAGCTCTAACCCCCCGGGGTTGTCGGTTTGTCCTGGATCACAGGATTGTGTCTGCAGTGTATAATCGGCCATGAGATAATCAACTGAAGATCCCCTTTCACAGGGATCTGGGATAAAGGGGCAAGGACGCCGCATCGCTGTGAGACAGAAGTGCCCTCAGCTCCCCGTCTCCAGGGGTGCCCGACAGCACGGGGGCTCCTCCCTGCTGCTCTCACTGCTTCGCCTGCTCTGTGAGTGGCGTTTGGAGCGGTTATGGCCGCTTCCTGATAGGATGGGTTGTCCTGTTGCTGCCCCCCTTTGCCCTGAGGACCTGCTGTATGGGGCAGGGCAGGTGTGGTTACGCACCAAGGGAGGGCAGCTCTGAGGGGCACTGTGGCCTTTGCCCCAGCTCTCCAATTCATTCCCAAAGATCTGCATGTAGTTAGGGCGTTGCGGCTGGTACCTCTGCCCTGGGGTGGCATCCTCTCTGATGGTGGACCCCCCGCACTTCATTCAAATAGCCTGTGTCTGTCCATCCTTTGGAAAATCATTTGCTGAGTGCCAGAAGATGCTTAGCCAGGAAAAGGAGGTGAATGGCAGGAAAGGGCTACCTTGCTATAGCGGAGGAAGCTGCAGCCCGGCTTCCCAGTGCTCACTGGTGTGAGTGGGCTCATGGCCACCCAGAGAAGGAAGGTCACTTCGTGCTTAGATTTACACGAGTGAGTTGTTCGCAGATTTGGGCCCTCTGAGGGGTCACAAGTGACGTCACCTCCCGGTTATCAGACACCTGGTGCTGGAGAAGAGCACCGTGGGTAATGCCTCCTCTGCTATCTCGTGCGTGGACCAACACTGCTCCTCACACCTCCTTGAAGGGGGTCCTGGAAGTGAAGAGGCTTCTCCAGCAACAGCATGTGGTCTCCTGGAGCAGCCAGACTGCACCCCTGGGACCACAACCCTGCCCTCTGCCCTCTGCAGCATGGCCTGGCCGTAGCTTCTGCAAGTCTTCTCTGAGTCAGGCGTGGGAAGTCTCCTTGTTGAGATGAACACTTGTTGCTTAAGTAAACGTATACTTAACATAGAGAGCCTCTGCAGATTAAAAGAGAGAAATGAACTTTATGTTTCTTAAATCACAATACAAATTGTTCTGTTTTTTTTTTTTTTTCTCCTCCTGCTAATCCTCCTCTTTTTGCTGAGGAAGCCTGGCCCTGAGCTAACATCCATGCCCATCTTCCTCTGCTTTATATGTGGGATGCCTACCACAGCATGGCTTGCCACGCGGTGCCACATCTGCACCCGGGATCCAAACTGGTGAACCCTGGGCCACTAAAGCAGAACGTGTGCACTTAACTGCTGTGCCACCGAGCCAGCCCCTCTCCATTTTGATCTATACTCAAGAATGAAATGATGTTTTGCTTTTTCAAAATTTATTTTTTGAGATATAATTGACATACATTTTATTAGTTTCAGGTTTACAACATGATTTGATATATATATTGTGAAATGATCACAATGTCTAGTTAACATTCATCACCATAGTTACAGAATTTTCTTTTCTGTGATAACTTTTAAGATCTACTCTCAAGAACTTTCAAATGGAACATTTATGATTATGATAACGTACTTGCAGTTTTCTTTCCATGACATTGGGTGTTTCTCATATTACAGGACTCCGAGTTCGCCCATATCTGATTTATGTGTAGGCTGATTTGGGGAAGTTGAGAGGCGGAGTTGTCGCCTTCTGTGACCAGGCAGTGTAAAACTACTGAGTTGGAGGCTTTCCTAGTTCAATGTATAGGATGTTGTTAGCATGCTAATTTTTGCAAAGTGGTATTAGAGACATGACATGTTTTTCCTCAACGCATTATAAAATCACTTTGCTGCCATATTAAAAATCAGGATTTTTGTGGGGCCAGCCTAGTGGTGCAGCAGTTAAGTTCGTGCTCTCAGCTTCAGTGGCCCAGGGTTCATGGGTTCAGATCCTGGTGTGGCCCTACACACTGCTTATCAAGCCACACTGTGGCTGGTGCCCCACATATAAGATGGAGGAAGATGGGCACAGATGTTAGTTCAGGGCTAATCTTCCTCAAAAAAAAAAAGGAATATTCCCCAACTTATTAAGAAAAATAAAATCAAGATTGTGTGCCTGCAAGGGCTCCAGACGCTATCGTCAACTGTCTCAGGCTGCATTTCTTTGAGGCCGACCCTCCAAGCAGCAGCTGGATGAGGGCAATCAGGTGCAGGTGGAGAATGAGCCGGTACGGCTGAGTTACTGGAGCTCAGCCTTGCAAAGAAGTTCTGGGAAGCTGTGCAGAGCATGCTCCGACACCTCCAGGGGCGTTTATCCAGGCCCTCTGGCCCCCGGGCCTCCTAGCCCAGCGTGGCATGGCTTCCAGGGGCATGAGTGGCAGCCCTCTCAGTGGCCCCTGCAGGCCCAAGCCCAAAGCCCTTCAGCAGAGCTGAGGCTGTGGAGTTCTGTGCAAAGCAGGACAGGGACTGTCTCTATGGCTACTGACTTTTAAAACCCTTGGGCCAGCCAAGGCTTCATGTCAAAGGACCGCTGCATGACACTTTAATCTTTCCCAACAGGAAGGCTGAGCGTGTTTCCAGTAGAATTTCATATCACTTTTTTTGCCTTGCTATTCTGTATACTGTTTTTTTTGAGGAAGATTAGCCCTGAGCTAACTGCTGCCAATCCCCCTCTTTTCACTGAGGAAGGCAGGCCCTGAGCTCACATCCACGCCCGCCTTCCTTTACTTTATATGTGGGACGCCTACCACAGCATGGCTCGCCAAGTGGTGCCAGGTCCGCACCCAGGATCTGAACTGGCGAACCCTGGGGCCGCTGAAGCAGAACGTGCACTTCACTGTTGCGCCAGCGGGCGGCCCTCGTTTTGCATACTTTTAAAGGACGAAGTGTGGCGTCTCCAGGCGTGGGAACTGGAATTCTACGCCTGGCCGTGTGCAGCAGACCACAGTCCTCAAATTACAACTCGGCCTTCTCACCTGGAACGTAATTCTGAGCCGTGTTTCCAATTTCAGACCTTAACCCCGGCCCGGTGGCCCAGGGCAGCATCTTAACTGCAAGCAGCTGGAGCTCGGGTGGAGGCGTGGGTTAGGGCAGATGGAGCTGCCTGAGTCTGTGGGTCTGCCCAGAAAGAGACACTGCAGATGGGGACAGGAATGTGCTTGAGATTAGACGGAGCAGGTATCTGGGTCCACCGCGGGATCATTGCAAGGGGCTGAGAACAGCACAGGAAGTGTGGGCTAACATCTGACTGATCACATTCAAAGAAATCTGTCAGGAGCCAAGGCAAGCGTTTATTCCACAAACGTCTCCTCCAGTGTCGGTGCAGTTATGCTGCTGCCTGGAGTGAGCGTGGGTTCAGGCCCCAGCTCCACTGGACACGGTGATCTGAGGCGGAAGAGCATCTCTCACGGTTTTGGTGAGCATTCCCTAACTCCAACCCTCCCCTCTGCTGCGCCGCCTTCACCACCCCGGCTCCTGCCATGTCGCCTGGAAGCAGGGCTGTGCGACGTCAGGACCGCCCAGCATCACTGGCTCACCCCGTGCTGGGCGCCGCCGCGTGCGGGGCCCTAAAGCAGTGGGGACTCCCAGCAGTCCTCCCACCTCACCGAAGGGAGAAGCTCAAGCACCTCGGCAAAGTCTCGACGCCGGCACACGGGTAGAACCACGCCAACCCCGCGCCGCTGTCTCAGGGACCTGCGGGCACGGGCCTTCCACGTGAGCCCGCCTGCGTCTGCGAGAGGGGCAGACTAAAGGCATCTTAAGTCCTACCCTCCCAGACAGACGCGGCTGGCCGGCTTAGGGAGGAGCGCCTCGTGCCAGCCGTCTGTGCCGACCACGGACGGGCCCGGACCTCCCTGCAGGCCGCGCACTCCTCCGCGCGGCTCAACGCCGGCCTCCCCGACCACACCCTAGCCTTCCTCGCCGAGCCCCAGCCCGGCCTCCAACGCCCAAGGGTGTCTCAACCCGTCTACTCAGCGAGGACGCCGGCCTCCGAGGGTCCCACTCGTGTCGTGACGTCCTGAAACCGCTGACCGGGTCCACCGAGGGAACCTGGCGAAAGGAGGGCGGGCAGGAGGGTCACTGGGGGCAAGGCTCACGGGCGGCGGCGACTCCCGGGCCCGTCGCGGAGAGCGTCAGGAGGACGCGCGGCGGGCAGAGCGGCCCCTGCAGCCGGCCGCCGGGACTCTCGGTCCCAGCTGCCCGGCCGCGGCGGAGCTACCGACCCGCCGAGGGGGGCTTCCGCGTGGAAACACCCGAGAGGAGCCGGGCGCCCGCTCACGGCCCGCTCGGCACAGTTACGGGCCTGAAGTAGCACGGAAGCCCCGACGGGAGGTGGAACGAAACCGGAAGCCTCGGTGAGAGGTCACACCGAGTCCGGCGTCGTGCAGAGCAGGAAAGGCCGGGCACCTACTGGAGCCCGCTGAGCCCAAGCCGCGGCCGCCCTGTGGGTCGGGGCGTCCTCTTCCGGGGCCGCGAAGAGCCCGCGGGCGGCGCCATGTCCACCAGGGACCGCGGGAGCGGCCGGGAGCGCACGGGCGT